AGGCACAGAACATTGGGGATTAAAGAAGGATGATTAATGTTACTGTTAATAGAGAATCACGCAGGTAAATCTCCACACCACACTAAGGGAGAAACAGTATTTGAAATAGCAGTCCCATGTGATTTCTAAGCCAGGAGAGAGGTCACACAATTTCCAGTATATCCATGCTAAATCTAGGGGTGTTAGAATGGCAAACACAGACTACCACCATGAACAGAAGTCTACACTGTTGCAAACATGAATTAACCTTCTGATTGTGTTGGCCAACTACATTTTCCTCATAAAATCCTGATTGATATGAGACAGAACAGTAATTAGAATGTGCCCTGCCACTGATCTGACCTGTCCTTGAAATTCAAATTAAACCTCCTGGAATACTAAAATGAGGCAAATAACAAAGAATTAACACAATGGGTGCAAATCTAGTCATAAGCTATAAGTAGAGCAGACTCACAGGACCAGTGGAGGTTTGATGATTCAACACCTATGTAAGTTCCATTGATTCAATGGGCCTATTCTAATGACAATGTATTACTGGATTTCAGCCATTGTACAGGTAAGCAAAGCACTGCTTCAAGAACTCACAGACCAGCATCCTCTTGAGCAGCTCCACTATACAGTAGAAGTGAACTCACTAATCCTAGCAGATTGCTGCTAATTAAATCACATTAAACATTTGACTAATTAAAGTCACATGCACCTCGAAATCAAAATAGGAACTCTTTATTAGCAGTGATCTGCTATGCTGATGATGTCACCTCTGTTGTGCAGGCAGATGTACACAACGGGATACTGGCCACTCTGTTAGAAATGCAAATTTTTCTGCATAGGATGACACAGACCACTTTCTCCTTCATATTCTATTCCAATTTAACACTGCCAAAAATAGTAACAGAGTATCTTAAAGATCATTTAACTTTATATATGAAAATGCTCCCTGGTAACAGCACGCGAGCTGAATGTGCCCGAAAATCTCCTTCAGGAGTCAAATTCTTCTTTATATTTTTCAGAAAACTGAATGCAAGAATGTTCTAAAATGCAAGAAAAAAAGTAGTCTTCTCCAGTATAAATCCACACTTGTAAGGCAATTATTCCTTTGGAACACATACAGGTTGTATCAAGCAATAAAAACTGAACTACATCTTTATTCTTGTGGGAGAAATTATCCTCCTCTCTTTCCAGACATGCTCCAGGATATAGAACAGAAGGTACAGGAGGGCTGTTAGCTATAACGTTGGTGGAATGAGCAACCAAATTGCTCGTGGAAGAAACTGACTTGGAAAAGTGTCAAACTGCAGACCCAATCCCCTAGGTTTTTACAAATATACGTATGCGCGCGCACACACACTTTCCCACTCATACGCATGATTTCCTGGTGCATTTGTATCAAGATTTCTGCTCAAGTTCAGTTCAGTTCCCAAAGGACAGGTTGCAGGGCATCCTTGCAAGATGGAACAGAATTTATATTGTTAGCCTCTGTCTCTCTGAGAAAAATACCTTGAGCATGAGATGCATACAGTAAAGGAGGAAAACAGAATGAGTGGAAGAAATCATTCACATTTCTCTTTAGATCACACAGGAATCATCAAAAGATGATCAGCCATAAGCAGCAGGACAGCAACATCTGCAGACACACAAAGCTTTGCAAAACCACAGTTGATTTAACTGGAACGTGGTAAGAAGATTTAACAGTTCCCAGGCAATATTAACTTTATGAACCTGTGCCTTCTTCTTGTCACAGGTCCTCCTTCTCAAAAGCAGAGCCTGCTAAAGTTCATCACGATACCTGCCCTTTAGGCATAACAGACCAATCTCTTTATATCTTTACAATGTGAGGGGATGTAAAGAGATTAAGGCAGTAACAAGAAGTAGTCTTATTGGCCCACTTGTATATAGATACAGCTGTAGGGTTTGGATGGGTACCTCTTGCCTTTAGGTCTATAATTTCTATTAGCCAATGATAAGGAATGATGGAAGTTCCCACCCCAAAACTCTGGAAGGGCTTCAGTTGTCTGCCCCTGCTACAGATGAAATACCTTATTTATTTATTTTATTTATTTGATTTATATCCCGCCTATCTGGACCCGTGGCCCACTCTAGGTGGCCTGTTCATCTTTGCTTTCGCTAACCCCCTTGATTACTGGACTGTTCAGCTGACACATAGCTGAAGATGCAGATGGACTACACAACTTCAGACTGCAGTTTATATGACTGAACAGTCCCCACCCCTACAAAAATATTAAAAAATATAAAAATAGATGTTAAACAGAAGAATTTTGGCTTCATATTCCCCTTTATTAGGCTATCCAAAGTTATTTCATAGTGATGGATGGATGGATGGATGGATTAAAAATATTTTTACCACACCTTTCTCCTTAAAAAGGACCCAGGGCAACTTACATCACTGAAAGACAACATTTAAAGCTAAAAACAATGAGTATACAATGGTAGATACATCATTAAAATACAATATTTAAAGCTAAGAACAATAAGTATAAAAAGCAGCTAGAGATGGAGCTGCAAATGGCACCCATATATTACTCATGGTCCACAACACCTAAAAGCAACAGCAGTGGGGAAAGTTAGACACTCAAGAAAATGATTAATGACTATTTACATGGCACAGCTGATGCTTTGAGGAAAATCAATTCCTTCTTTAGGAATGAGAACTGTAAGAAGTTCAGCACCAATCAAAGACCAGATAAGATATTGTTCTTGCTGGCTGCATCAGGGATGCTCATGGTCACTCAAGTATTAGTGGACACAGGGGCAGTGGAACACCATCACCTCTGGAATCCTAAATTTATGTTTATTTAAATGTATACACAGATAGGGACTGTGTTGTAGCAGGATTTGCTATGGTAAGCTACTTGGTGAAGAAATGATTCTGCAAAAATGCATCAGCAATTTGCAAATAATCATTAAACCATTTAGCATTGAGCTTTCTGCCCTTTTTTTCTTTGCTGTTTTGCAAGCAAAAACCTGCCCCTGCTGTTTGCTGCCTCCACTATAATATTTAAAGGCAGACAACATATTTTGGCACATTAGGTGGAAAATCCCGTAGGTCCTGCTCTTAAATGGCAGTAAAACTGCAGGAAGAACAAAGTAAATAACTAACAATGTATTGCCCTTTATGATTGCTTTTTAATGCCCAAATCTGCACTCATCTTGCTCGGCTTAACAATACGGCCTGCCCTGGCCTTATGATGCTATTATTGCCTTAAATATGTATATATTTAATTATATTGCCTTTTTTCATGGCAAAACATTCAAGCGTGTGATAGCTGCCCTGCTGTCCACAGCACGTTAGGCTAGGAATAACTTTACCACCTCATCTGCGCTTTGAGTCAACCAAGCATAGAGAACTGGTACTTTTAAAAAATAAACTACTACAACAAAGTTTAGAATACTAAGTTGTAAAGTGTTTGTTTCATTTTGTTTTAGAAGGTAAAGATTCTCTCTAAACATGCAAAGTTAGAAAAGATTCAAACAGAAGATATCTTTAATATTAACTGGAAATGTTTTTTTAAGATACCGCCACGCAATTTGAGAGGTATGCCAAAGGGAGAAGGAAGAAGGGCATCCATCTGCAGATGTCAAAAGTGTTGCAGTTGTAAAAAGAATTTATAAATTATATATACATTTGTAACAGAGATATTTGTAAGGCAGTATGCTCGGAGCAAAGTGTGGAGAAGTTACTGTACAGGCCACTCACTAAGCAGGATAAGGGATTCTGGTAGGTTTAGCCTCAAAAAGCAACTTTTCTAAATTCTGGCTAGGAACACAAAGAGACAGTGATGCAGAAATGAAGAATCCAACTGGGTACTATCCTGAAAGCAACCAAGCAGTAAACATCTTTTCCAAATGTTTCAAGATTCGTTACATTTCACACACCACATCCCAGATGCTAGTCAGAATCCAATCACAATTTGCCTCTTCACATACTGATTGCATTTTAAAGACAGAATAATATATCCAGCCCAGGTATTTTATCACATTCTGTCTTCTACATTTCAAGAGAAAGAAGGAAGTGCCGAAGCAACACTGCAGTTGAATGCCAAGAAGACAAAAATCATGACTACAGAGGAATTGCACAAAAATAGCACTGGCAATGAACAAAATGATGTATTTTGTATACCTTGGCTCAATTATCCATTCAAATGGAGTCTGCAGCCAAGAAATCAGAAGAAGACTGAGACTAAGAAGGGCAGCAGTGAAGGAATTAGAAAAGATCATCCAGTGTAAGGATGTGTCACTGGAAACCAAGATCAAGATCATCCACACTCTTGTCTTTCCGATCACCATGTACGGGTGAGAAAGCTGGACAGTTAAGAAAGCCAGCAGGGGATTCATTTGAAATACAGTGCTGGATGAGAGCTTTGCAGATACCCTGGACTGCCAGAAAGACAAGCAAGGAGGTTTAGATCAAATCAAGCATGAATTATCTCTAGAAGCAAAAACTTTGAAACTGAGGCTGTCCTACTTTGGGCACATCATGAGAAGGCAGGATTCTCTGGAAAAGACAATAATATTGGTAAAGGCGGAAGGCAGCAGGAAAAGAGGAAGACCAAATGCAAGATGGACTGTCTCCCTAAATGAAGTCACAGGCTTTAGTCTACAAGAGCTGAGCAAGGTGGTCTCTGTAAGTCGGAGGCAACCTGATGACACACAACATAACTGCCCTATTTGACACACATGTAAATACCATCAGTATGAGCAATCTGGACCTTTCTACATTTTTTACATATGCAGCTAGGGATTTTTGGCATGGCCACTAGATCTCCATGACGACTGCTAAATGTGTATTTTCTTCCTTTTATCAAGCATTCCAGTTCATTCATCCCCATAACAAATCCTTCAAATACTCCTAAACCATGAAGTCATGTTTATGGGGCAAGTGGGTGTTCTACTAGTGCCCTCCAAGACAAAACCTTTCAGGACTGTAAGTACCCTGCCATTAAGGTCTGAGACAAAAATGAAATAAAACAATTAAGTCTTACTCGAAAAACCTTTTCCACTCGTGCAATGCCCTTCCCAAAGATGGTCCCAAGCTGGTCACCTATGCCGGCTAGCAGAAAGCCAAAAAGTGGAATCCCAAAGATGGCATACAAAATACAGAAAATTTTTCCACCTTCTGTGCTTGGGGCAATGTTTCCATACCCTGTTGAGAAAGAGAAAGAGAAAAGACATCATGACCTGAATTCTGAAGAGACAATAAAACAAGATAGATCTAGATAATAAAACACGTATACAAAGAAAAACAGCTTCTTTCCACATTCCAGTGCTCTGCAGTCCCTCAGTTCTACATGATATATAGAACTTCAAGCATCTGACTTGTTTTCTGGTGCTGAAGCAGAGAATAAAGTGGACATGTGGGCTTTCTTATACTCCCTTCCCCCAATTTCTTTGTATACTGATCTCCCATGGGAAACTAATGGATTTAGGTACCCAACTCAACTCCTTCTGAGTCAGTAAAATGAATACCTATCTCATTGGGTACCAAGTGTTGTTTGCATAATTATGTTGTAAACTACCCAGAGAGTGCTTTAGTATTATGGGGCAATATATAAATCAAAACAGTAACAACAAAATCTATGCTCAAAGGTGGTTACAGCAATGTCAGAAACATTTCCACAATGTAACAACAGCATCCACTTTGGGAATAACTAGTTGGAAGTAATGTAGTTTCCTCTAACTAGTTATTTTGGATGTTTTATAATTTCACTAGTATCTACAAAGTTACTTTTGAGTATAACTAGAAACACTGTGTTACAAAGTATAAGATGCAATATTTAGTTACTTTCAAAGTTACTTCTTAAGGGCATTTCAAGGCATTTTCAGAGGCATTTTGACAGGTTTTTTAAAACGCCATTCTTTTATCAACTCTATGTGGCAAAGCTGATATCCTGTTCAATATTTATGTGTGTGTGGAGCTGTAACTGCAGAAGCTGCTAGGGTGTACTCTTAGTCTTTGACTTTTGTATTTTTTAATAAAAGTTTCCAAAGTGCTGTATCAGAATTGGCCACTAGTGGGAACCAGAAAATATTTCTTTATATTTCCATTCCTGGTTTAAATCCCAAAGGCAAAATGTTTATAGTGCACAATGCAATGGATTACCTGTCTAGTCAGAGCAAACCTAAGTACAATTTATTAATTTATTATTTAAAATACTTCTTACCCCACCATTCTACTTAAAAAGGGCCCAAGGTGGCTTACATCACCCAAAGATAATATTTAAAGCTAAAACAGCGCATATATAAATACTAAGAAAGATTAAACAAATACCATACTAAAAATAGTAAACAAAAACAACACCAAAACATATTCAAATCAGTAAGATACAACAATCCATTTAAAAACACCACTCAGGCAGCCAGTCACTGCAGCTGCCTGAAGAGTAAAGTCTTTGCCTGCTTGTGGGAGGACAGCAAAGATGGGGCTGGCCTGTCGAAGGGTCTGGGAGCAGCAACAGAAAAAGTCATCTCCTGTGCACCCACCAAATGTACCTATGAAGGTAGTGGGACTGAGAGAAAAATTTCCCCTGATTATCTTAATACCCAAGCAGGCTCATAAAGGGAGACACGGTCCTTGAGATAGCTTGGACCCAAGCCATTTAGGGCATTACATGTTAGAACCAACACTTTAAATTCTGCCTGCAAATGGATCAGCAGCCAGAGAAGCTGCTATAACAGGGTGGTTATGTGGTCCCTGTAATCAGTCCCAGCTAGCAATCCGGGTGCTGCGTTTTGTACCCTTTGAAGTTTCGAGACACTTTTCATAGGCAGCCCCACATACAGTGTGATATACTAATCCAATCAGGATGTAAGTAAGGCATGTGTCATCCTGGCCATATCAGACCTTTTATACATGGAGCTGGATTTTACTAATTGCTTAATCTGAGACCAATGCACATTTTTCTCACCATTGCAGAATTGAGGAAGCTTCTAAAGAAAAATCACCTAAAGAGCCGTTCTTCATCATTCATTGGCCACTACTGCATAGGATGTCTCTTAATTGGATCCTGTTGGGAAGATGACTCACCTGGCTAATCTCATTTTCAGGTTTCGGTTCTGATTTATGCTGGCCCTTTATCACATACGACACTTACTGAACTCTCAATTTCTTACAGTTCTGTCCCTGTGAATCATCAAGAGATTCTCTGACTTCTTAGTCTGTCTGGGAGTTCAGTCTTTTTATGGCTTATTTTCCTGATCTGCTATTGGACTTTTGGTGGAGGGGAGGGTGGTAGAATCTGTTTCATCTCTCCAGAATAGTTTCAAATTAAAATAATATCACAACACCTACAGAACAAAGACTACTGCAGGTTGTAATTGTCCTTATTATAGAACTCCTTCATGGAGTTTTGTTTCAATAATTATTTGAAGGTTTTTGTTTCTAAATTCTTGGCAACCTGTAAAATTCTATGCTGACATATTAAAAGTGCAGTCTTTTTATTTTTAAAGTTTGTTCTTATTCCTTTGCTGACTTTCTGTCTCTGGGCTCATCCACATACCCCATTTCCCCCACACATACACACACCACAGCACCCTTTCCTCTGTCCGATCTGGGTTTATATGATTAGTCTGTGCCATCTGTTTTTAAGATTATTGTTGTTGTTTTAATGTTTTTACCTTTATTTGTGTTCTCTATTATTCATGGTGTAACTGCCCAGGGTAGTGTCTTGGCCCTAATGGGAGCGGAATACAAACTGAATGAATTAATGAATGAAGAGTCCCTCATTTAAAGAGGTAGTTCCATCATCCACTGATTCAGATTAGTTTAACAGAACCACATATTACTTGAGACATGAATTAATCTCTTCCACTTCCTTTTTAGTTCAGGCTTATTTCCTTTCATTTTGAAACTTTTGGTGGGGGACAGTCAATTCCACTCATAACTATACTTAGGTGTGGGTTACTACAAAATGCAATTTGTCTGGAATTTAACAATGTACATATTGTGACTTCCAAATAATAATAATTTGGAGGATATAAAAATAACGGCTAGTATTGTGTTCAATTTATTTAGACACAGAGAACTCAAATGTGAATCTTGTGGCAGTGGCACAGCCAGGTTATACAATCAGAAGCCAGACCACACATAAGACGCTGTTTCATCTGACTGCAGCTGCAGCTGAAGCTCTTTACATGTAAACCCTGGACAGGATGCAGGCCAATGGTCATTTTGATGGTGATAGCTAACTAGTATCTTTAAGCTTAAATGCATTCCATTTGTAAGAGATTTGTGAATCCGTTGAGTACAACTTATATCCCGGAAAGCTCCCTCTGACCAAAAAAAGGGGGGGGGGAAGCTGATACTCATCAATTCTTTCTGTAGCCTGCTCTGCCCCCTGAAAATCTGCTCTGGAGAGTTAGAGACCCTCTTGAATAATATGGGATGTGGAATAAGGAGTCACAGAAAGAATAATGACCACTGCTATAAAAAAGATGGTATGTCATACAGAACAACATGTGGACTAAGGAAAAGTAAATTCAGAGTAATCGTTATGAAAACGGTTGTTGTGGGTTTTTCGGGCTCTTTGGCCGTGTTCTGAAGGTTGTTCTTCCTAACGTTTTGCCAGTCTCTGTGGCCGGCATCTTCAGAGGACAGCATCTTCAGAGGACCAGAGCACAGAGTGCTGTCCTCTGAAGATGCCGGCCACAGAGACCGGCGAACGTTAGGAAGAACAACCTTCAGAACATGGCCAAAGAGCCCGAAAAACCCACAACAACCATTAGATCCCAGCCGTGAAAGCCTTCGCGAATACGTCATGAAAACCCTGCACCTCATCTTAACTATATCTGGTCGTACTAGAGGCACACACACCATTGACTGAGGATCACAATTCTAATATATTATATTACATTTTGCAGAGATTTATCTTCTAGGTTAAAGCAAGAGGTCCCCGCCATTCATAGGAACGGGTAATTTATTCCAATATGGATTCAGTGGAATCAATTCAATTTGATTCTTTCTGCTCTGTTATCCATTGTGTTGTATAAATGCATTTTTTGCCAGAAAAAGAGAGGGGAGGGTGGAGGAGATAAGAGATGTAGTTACAGCTCGGGCACCACAGAAGTTCAGAATACTTGACTGCCAACTCCATTAAAACCCATTTCATTTCAGCGGTTTGCAGTCTGGTGATAAAAATGCACTTTCACAATGGAAGTACAAACCCAGGTACATAGATCAGACCAGGAATAAATTACTTAAATGGGGAGGAGGGGGGGAATAATATAGGTTTTCTTGATCATAATGATCAAAAGCACTCTAACGCTTCTAGGCCTTAATGCTACAACTTGTTAGTATTGTTAAGCTCCATACAGAAAGGTCCATAGCTGAGTGCCAGAAAGCAGAAGCTAAGCAAAGTGTGCTGCTTATATATCACTCCATAATGCTTCAAGCACTCTCTGGGTGGTTTACAAGTTAATTATGCAGGCTACACATTGGCCCCCAGCCAGCTGGGTACTCAATTTACTGACCTCAGAAGGATGGAAGGCTTTGACTGAAGTACTTAACCACTACACCATGAGGCTCCAGAACACAACAGCCATCAACAGAACTGCTCCTACTGCATAGGAACATGATTCCATGTCCCCTATGCAGCCCACTGCCATGCCCTCAAAATCTAACCTGGAGGACTTGGGGGGGGGCAGACACAGAAGAGGGCTGCAGAGGGAATGAAAGTAAAGTCTGGCTGGGCACCATGTCTCCTTATGTGACCCTGGATTTTGCACATCTGGTTTGCTGCAAAAAGCCTCTGATTCATTCCACAGCATTTCCGGGAAAGGCTAGGAAAGTCCCTTATTTAAAATCATAAAGAGTCACTAAGCTAAGAAGACACAGGCTCTGACTCAGCATAAAGCAACCTCCTATGTTCAACAGCATATAAACCCATATGGCACTGGTTCCAAAAGAATTGCATTGGCTGCCAATACACTTCCAGTCTCAGCTTAAGGTGTTGATGATAACATAAAGACTTAAACAGCTTTGAGCCTGGATACTTGAGAGAATGCCTCTCCGTATACAGACCAGCCTGATCACTACAATTTGCTGGGGAGTGGCTCCTCTGTTCTGCCATGGAGAAATGACGCACTATGCAGAGACAAAGAGCTTTCTCGGCTGTAGCACCACAGTTATGGAATGTTCTCCCCTTAGAGACTCAGCTGGCACTAATAATAATTTCAAGACAGGATGGCAAGCAGTGAAGATGGCACCGCCACTAGTCTCGCTACATGGGCAGTAGAGAGGCATTTTTTTTCCTGATTCAAATGAACTACAGCACTCATGACCTCTGTCAGAAAATGCCAGTGCCCCCTTCAATTTAGAAAAGGAGAAAGCCTACATCCTAGGTTCTAAAAGTGACACTTCCAGAGATGTTTCTGCCTTGGGTCCCAAAAAGCTATTTCTCCCAGGAGGGCTAGGCCAGTGGTCAAAACATACAGAAGCATGCAAATAGAAGCAAAGGAAGAAAGCTGCTCCTGATAGACTCTGCCACCTGCCCCAAATTCTATGCCCCAAAATTAAGCAGGGGTGTTTATCCTAACTTAATTTTTTTATAATGCCTACCTTTAAAACTGATCTTTTTAGAACCAGCAATATGTTATTGTCTATGACTGTCCAGGCAAATGTGAAGTACAAATAGAGAGGACAGGAGTGTAGCTTGAGATTGATAAACACATTACATTGTATGAGTTCAGATTTCCAAGGCCCAATAAACTGCATCCAAGAGTATTGAAGGAACTGGCTGAAGAGCTCTCAGAATGACTTTTATTTTCTTGATATCATGGAATGCTGCATGATTGGAAGAGGACTAACGTCCTACCTTCAAAAAAATAAAAAAGCAAAAAGATGGAACCTGGGAACTACAGACCAGTCAGCCTGATATCAATCCCAGGGAAAACTCTAGAGCAGATGATAAAGCAGTCAGTCTGCAAGCACCTTGAAAATGCACTAATCACTATGCATAGAAGCCAACATATATTTGTGGAGAACAAATCTTGCCAGAGTAATCTCAAGTCATTTTTTTGATCAGGAAACTTCCCTGGTAGATGGTGGGAATGTTGCAGACATGCTGTAATATATCTTGACTTCAGGAAAGCCTTTGACAAAGTGCCCCATGGTATTCTGATTAGCAAACTAACTAGCTGTAGTCTGGATAGAACAACTGTCATATGGATACACGTTTGGTTATACAATTGTACTCAGAGAGTGCTTATTGCTGACTCCTTCTCAAACAGGTGGGGTACCACAAGGCTCAGTACCGGGCCTAGTGCTCTTCAACATGTTTTTAATGACTTGGAGTGGGGGCAGGGAATGCTTCTCAGATTTGTGGATGATACAAAATTGTGTGGAATAGTCAATACCCTGGAAAACAGAAAAATATTGAAAATATTAAAAACAAAAAACTGAAAATAACAAAATGACATTGAACAGGGATCAGTGGAAGGTTCTACACCTAGGAGAAAAAACAAACACACAGTTACAAGATGGAGGATACTTGACTCAGTAATACTATGAAAAAGAAGGGCCACGTAATTGTTGTAGATCACAATCTGAGTATGAGCCAACAGTGCAATGTGGCTGCAAAAAAGACAAATGCTATTTTAGGCTATAGTCACAGAAATATAGTGTCCAAATCATATGAAATACTAGTTCCCCTCTGCACAGCACTAGTTAGGTCTCAATTCTGGACACCGCACTTTAAGAAGGATGCCAACAAACTGGAACAAGTTCAGATGAGGGCAACAAGGATGATCACAGGTTTGGAAACTGAGGAAAGACTGGAAGAACTTATCATGTTTAGCTTTGAGAAAAGAAGACTGAGGGGAGATATGGTATACAGTGGTGCCCCGCATAAGGGGCGCCCCGTTTAACAATGAATCCGCATAGCGATTAAGTTTTTGCGATCGCAAAAGCAATCACATTGCAATGTTTTAAATGGCAAAACATCGCTTTGCGATGATCGGTAAGCTGTTTCGCTTACCGATTTTCGCATAGTGATGTTTTTAGAACAGCTGATCCAAAATGGCCGCTGGGTAAAAAAATGGCTGCCTGCTGTGTTTTTGCGCCCATTCCTCGCTTGCTGAGCAGCGAAAATGGTGGCCATATGAAGGATTTTCGCACAACGGTGAGTTTTAAGCCCATAGGAACGCATTAAACGTGTTTTAATGCATTCCTATGGGCTTTTTTGTTCCGTATAGTGACGAATCCACATAGCGACGATTTTTCTGGAACGGATTATTGTCACTATGCGGGGCACCACTGTAATTCTTCAAATACTTGAAAGGTTGTCTTAGAGAGGAGAGGCAAGATCTGTTCTCAATCATCCCAGAGTGCAGGACCAATAATAATGGGCTCAGATTACAGGAAGCCACTGAGCGCAGTGGTTAAAACGCTGTACTGCAGCTAAAACTGTGCTCACGACCTGGGGTTCAAATCCCAGGCAGCTGGCTCAAGGCTGATTCAGCCTTCTATCCTTCCGAGGTCGGTAAAATGAGTCCCCAGCTTGCTGGGGGGGGGGGCAATGTGTAGCCTGTATAATTAAATTGTAAACCGCCCGGAGAGTGCTTGTAGCGCTATGGGGCGGTATACAAGTCTAAAAAAAAACAAATTACGTTGAATATCAGGAAAAATCTCTTCACTGTTAGAACAGTACAACAATGGAGCCAATTAACTCAGGTAGTGGTAAGTGCTCCAACACCAGAGGCATTTCAGAGAAAATGTGATAAGCATCTGTCAGATATACTCTGATTTGAATTCCTGCATTGAACAGAAGATTGAGTTCAATGGCTTTATAGGCCCCTTCCAACTTCATTATTCTAGGATTCTATAGGTAGTCCATCATTTGAAGCTGAGATCTACTACTGTTCCAGATATGTGAATCAAGCAGCCGTTTGTGATTGTGCAATTTTGAATGAAGCCAGCGTTCACCTACTATGCTTTCCAAAAATAATTTTTAAAAGCTGATTTGTATAAATTATAGGGAAACACCTGCAATGAGAAACATACGCCCTTGTTTTCTTCATCTCGGTAAAGCTCCTTTGTAGTGGAAAGAACATTTTGGCAGCTGTAGTGTAGAAGAGTAACTTTTCTAAACTCCGTCTGACATGCTGTGTCAATATATACCTATTGTTGTGATGACAGTTCCAGCAAAGAAAAAGGCACTTCCAAGGTCCCAGTGGCTGCTGCTGTTTGAAGAGTCTCCTACAGGGTTGACTCCAGCACTGGTAGCATTGATGACCCTCTGTAAAGGAAATGATGGTAAAATTAAGACAGCAAAATATCTGGTTCTCAAGTATGCAACGTTTATGCTGGCTGGAGGATACTGGAATTATAGTCTTAAAAAAAGCAGTTTATTCCATGTTCTGATTGATGTCATGTAAGATACCAGGCAAAAGCAAAACAAAAATGAAAAAATTAAGAAAGTGAAACATTGCAGCACCTTAAAGACTAACTGCAATATTTTAATGTGAGCTTCTGTGGACAAATCTTTTCTTCAGACTACGAAAGCTCCTGGCTTAATGTGAGCTTTCATGGATAAGCTCAGACTTGTCCACGAATGCTCACATTAAAATATAGTAGTTTTAACATGTCACAAAATTTTTGTCTTCTTTATTTTACATATTTGTTTTGTTTTCGCCTGACAAGCTAGCACAGACTAACATGGTTACTTTTTCTAAAACTATATCATTTGAAATGGGATTGTTATGGGGCACACAGATCCTCCTTATCAATTCTAATCTATTTGACTATCTGGAGTATAATAAAGGTGGCTTGTAAGCTAAGCATGTTAACGCTATCCAGAAAATAGAAAATAAATACAAAAATAAATACAAAATAAATCAACAACAGCAACAAACCCTAGAGGCAGTTGGTAACAACTTATCCCACACATTAAGAAAATTAACATTGACACCTTGACTGTAAACCAACATACGTAGTGTTCCGTACTGTGACATTTTCATGTTCTAACATTCTAGTACAGACTATATTGTGATCAATTTGACTGGATTATTTATGTTTTAAATGACATGAGTCCCTGAAATGTGGAATAAAAACATGGAATTAAATAACAGATATAAATGAGTTTGCACAATATTGTCAGAGAAGAGGGGAAATGTCTTCATACTTTGCAGGACGTTCCCAGAGCTTGGAGAAGTTAAGCCACTACAGTGATTAAGAGATTCTAGGAGATATAGTCCAAAATACATTTTTAACAAATCCAAGCTTTGGGACTTGCAGATCCAGACACAACCATGGCAAAAGGTCATCCTCACATTATGACTAAGCACAGCTCAGATGTTGATGGTGAAGAAGGGGGGAGCCTGCACCCAAGACCTCAGGGAAATATTTCATATGTGAGAAGTAGAAGTTCATATATTCAACTTTACTGAGGACAGTCCTGTAACTGGAGGTCTCTCACTGACAGCATCTGCTCTTTGAAAGGCTATTCAAGATGTATTTGAAGAGAAATCACCCTATAGAGGGAAAGCAGAGACCTTGAGGTTGCTCATCAATAGCGTGGGACCTGGATATCAGTCTGAGTTGGTACACCCCTGGTTACTTGATCTCAGTCTTCTTTATTACCATGCATATTGTATTTTTATTTGAAAAAAAGATTCGAACAAGATTGACAGAAATATCATTACTACATCCACATGCTTAGACATTCAGTATATGCATATGTATGGAAATTGCTATCCTCTGCTCTCTTTTGAGGGGGATGATGCTTTCCTTCTTTTTAGTGCAAGGGAGGGACAATTGAGTGACCACTCTTAAGAGAGGACAGTCCTTTAAGTCTCTTGTTTCCAAATACTGTACTCCTTTTCAATGTAAAATATCTTTAGAGCACTTTGTGTCCCTTTAATCAAGAGGGAAAGGACTGAAAACTGTAACTTGTAGCTGATGTGCAGCAAAAAGCAAGGGAGAGATGGACGTGTTATTCCTGCATTTCCCACTGAATCAAGGAGTGCAAAAGAGCATTGGTTTATTTACTCAGTGGAGCAGAAATCAGTTTAATTGACAGCTAGACAAGCCAGACAGGCCATGACACACTGCCAGCAAAAGGAAGGCTTTCTTATGCCAGGGGGACACACTGTTTTTCTCCTCTTCCAGGAGCTGCCTGGTACGTGGCATGACCCATAATGCATCCCTGTTCGCACGCTCTTAACAAGTTTACTTGGCCAAAAACACAAGAGGCAGGTTTGGGAACTTAGTCTATTGGGGAAGGACACTGCATGTTACTTCGGCCTTTTCTCTTGCAACAAGCTCACACATCCTTGTCTTTGACCATTTTGCCTCCCACTAATTTATAGCAGGTTAATTTCTGCCCTTAAGGACGGACACCCTGGCAGCATTTTTTTTCTCACTCCAAAAAGAATGCAGATGGGGGCAAAATTTAAATTGACATGAAGTCTGTAGTGGAGGAGGGGCGGGTTTCAGGGCTGAGTCTCCCAAGAGAAAGAGAGAGAGAGAGAGAGAGAGAGAGAGAAATCTCTCAGGCTAAGAGGGGCTGGCAGAAAAGAGAAAGCTTGATTTATTGTTTGTGGCAACTTTAAAGAGTGAATGCCCCTCTCTTCCCCACTCCCAACTTGGGCCAGAGCTGACTGACCCTTAATTTGCATGCACATTGTGCACATAATGTAGAAGTAGTGCAAGGAATCTACACTGCCCGCCATCTTCTCACTCCAACACATACACATGTATTACTTTGTATTTGTAATGCAAGCCCCCCCCCTGCCCTGGCCTCCTAAAGGCCAGTCCCCTCTGACTTAGAAACAGAATACACTTTGTATTTGTAATGCAAGCCCCCCCCCCGCCATGGCCTCCTAAAGGCCAGTCCCCTCTGACCTAGAAACAGAATAATAGAATCATTGAGTGGGAAGAGGCCTATAAGACCATCAAGTCCAAACCCTTGCTCCGTGTAGGAATCCAAATCAAAGCAGATCTGACAGACTTCGTAAAGCCCTGTCACCTGGTCCCAGGCTTTGGCCATAAAATCTGCTGCTGATCTACATAGGACCCCTACTCTGTACTGTCCAAAAACATGCAGAGGGGCAGTGGCATGAGGCCCCTGAGCTCTTTCAATAAAACCTGTTTGTTTATTGCTATAACTCTCAAGGTGTTTTCCCTCAGACCCACAGTGCTCTTCCTGCCTCAAGTAGATGTTTAATACAAACATCTACTGTTGTTTTTCCTGTCCCTTTCTAGCAAAAAAACCCCACCAAACAAAACAAACACAACAGCATGTTTTTCCTGTCCCTTTCTAGCAAAAAAAACCCACCAAACAAACACAATAGCAATTTCTTCTGGTCTCCATGGTTCCTTCTGTCAGATCCCTCTTGGTCCTGTCCTCCATACTAGCATTTTGGCCACTCTGGATTCTTTGCTAGCCAGCAGAGCTCAGGCACCCCATACCGTTCAGCTTTTTCACTCCCCCTCTCCATGCATGACCACGCTGAAGGCTATATGTGTGTGTAAGGAAAATCAGGCAGCTGTGTGGATGGGCACATCCACGGCTGGCTTTTGTAAAAAAAAGGCGGGAAAATAAGAGTAAAAGGCCTGATATTTTTGCAAAAAGGATACCAAGTGTTTTGCATATTAAACATTTCTAGAAGTTCCACAAGTGGCTTCCAAGGTGCCTGATCAGACTGGTGTTTGAAGTACAGTAAAAGCCTTCTTCCTTCCTCAAGAAGAGGTGGTTTCTCCAACTTTTTGCCTTGCTTGTTTTTGCTTCTCCTACCTCCTGTCTGGGTACACAAGCTTCCCATGCCTGAGTACTTTACTGTTCTCAATGATCTCAAGGAGAGTTCAAAATTAATTGGTTATAAGTAATGCCGTTAGCTGTAACTACTTACTTTGAGGGTATTGAATACTAGTAACTAGGACATGGTGGTGCTGCGGGCTAAACCGCAGAAGCCTGTGCTGCAGAGTCAGAAAACCAGCAGTCGTAAAATCGAATCCACGCAACAGAGTGAGCGCCCGTTGCTTGTCCCAGCTCCCGCCAACCTAGCGGTTCGAAAGCATGCAAATGCAAGTAGATCAATAGGGACCACCTCGGTGGGAAGGTAACAGCATTCCGTGTCTAACTCGCACTGGCCATGTGACCACGGAAGATTGTCTTCAGACAAAACGCTGGCTCTATGGCTTGGAAACGGGGATGAGCACCGCCCCCTAGAGTCAAACACGACTGGACAAAAATTGTCAAGGGGAACCTTTACCTTTACCTAGGATTAATGAGTAACAGGTGTTTCCCTTCCTAAATTACATTTTAGGAGCATTTTGAAATAAATGCCATTTTCTCACCAACCGTTAGGATGACAGTCCTACAGTATGCAATACATTTGTTAGATGCAATCCAATTCTTAAGTAAGATTTTTCAGCAGTAATTTACAGCTCCCTCCTGCCTCTCCTTCCTCTTTTTTTTTACTCATTTACCCATTAACTGTATATTCACAACCCTGCACTCCTTGGGGCACTTGTGTGCTAGTCAATTAGTACTGTTGATCCCTTTGGATATGTTTTGTAATTTCGGAATTGGCTATTAGAGGAAAGCAGAGAATATAACTGTGTAATTTTATGTCCTTTTGGGAGCAACAACACAATGCAGTAACAACGTGTAAGGCAACAAATTACTTCTGTAGTCACAGAACTGACAATGACAGTCGCAACCTGTCCGTCAAGAACAGGTAACACAAGAAATTCCTTTTAAAATTTAACTGTGAGATCTCTATATAGGCCTAAAAAATCAGGAACCTCCAAAACTCCATATTGTTTTTTGAAGCAGGCAAAAGAAAAAGAAATGGAAAATATATTTTAAATTTGCCTGATCTATTTCAGTCATTGAAGTTCATTAACTTTTCACTATAGAGTTACAGAAGCTTCTAGAGTTTATTTAGAGGGGGGAAAGGAGGAGGAATAGATTGCTGATTTGTCATTCAACAACTGTTGAGATAACATAGTAGTCTAAGGCCACAATATTTAAGGACTCCATATCCACTCTACTCATTGGAAATTATTTAGTAGTGCATTACTTTCTATGCCTTGTAAAAATTTGCCCTACTGTTAAAAAAAATTCTCACTTTTTTCTCTGGAATCATTGTCTTCATTAGAAAAATAAATTAGGCTCCACTCAAAACACAATCTGACCATCTGTAAGAGAATAAATGTAGTATAAATGATGATAAAGACCTGCAGAAATCTTGGACAATGGCTGTCAGGTGACATATTCAACAGGAAAAAAAT